GTTAGGGTTAGGTTTAGGTTAAGGGTTAGGGTTAGGTTTAGGTTAAGGGTTAGGGTTAGGGTTAGGGTTAGGTTTAGGGTTAGGTTAAGAGTTAGGGGTAGGTTAAGGGTTAGGTTAAGGGTTAGGATTAGGTTTAGGGTTAGGTTTAGGATTAGGTTTAGGGGTTAATTTTAGGTTTAGGGTTTACAGCGTGCTTCTGTCTCCGCGCTGTTGTCGCCCTGTTGATGACATCAGCGACGCGGTTTAGTCGAGCGCGGTTCAGTCGAGCGCAGTTTTATGGTGGAACCATAAAAGAATGGTTGTTAGAGTGGACTTAACATGGAATTGAGATGTATTCAGGTTATTTAACCTAAATTTACCACTAAGATTTGAGCACTCTGGTGCCCCAAAGCTAAAAGAAGAAGAAAGATAGCCATTTAGTGCTCTGTAGTTGTAAAGAAAAAATAGCATTTTTCAAGAAATATGACACTTTTATTTTAATAAATTATTAATTGCCAGGGGGAGAAATGTTTAATTTTCAAACCAAAAATGTTTAGTTTACTGAAAACTGCCAGCTGCCAAGTTATCATCAAATGAAATATGTCAGCCAAACATTTTCAGTGTAATAACAAACAGCATCAACATAACTTAGCCAATGCAACTGTGAGTCAGGAATCTCTTACCAAATTTGTCACTCTTCTGGCATGTGTATAAATAAATACATGCTACTACAGAACAGATCTGTGCTGCACAAAGAGAAAAGTAAGGGGAGGGAATGGACTGTATTTCTTTAGGCTGCTACATTACAAGTAAATACATATGTGAAATACATATTTTATATTTTTAATGCAACATCCAGACAATTTGGCCAAAGAATCCACTTTTCTTCTGGAAGGAACAGCAAAAGCAAAAGTCTTGAAGGATGCCAAGAACAGAAAAGCCTCAGCATGGGGAGGCCTATTAGATGTTTCTCCTTCACTGATTAAATTTGAAATTGTTCCTATGGAACTCTAGATGTAAGTGCAGACATAAGCAAATGCCTATATAACCCCCAATCACCCCACAGTCAGGCAATTCACAAGAACACGCTGTGCCTAGGCAGTCCAGAATCTTGGGTGGAACTATGACTGAACCATTCATATCCCAAGGTATTTCTGCTTCTAAAAGGTTTAACAAAATTGTTAAAAGAAAAATTGATCTGGGTAAAATGATAGCAAAGGTATGTATCACAGCATCCCACTCTATGCCATTGTGTTGAAATTCTTAGAACCTTCTAAGTTGTTGCTGCCAGTAATAGAATACTTTTTCATTTATTTAATGCATGAAATATTAATGTATATATTACTATTTATCTTCTTGCCAACTTTTTTCCTGGCTAATCCACTTATAATCTTCAACAAGTCATCAAGACTGTGTAAGGCTCTAGTCCAAACACTTGTCTAGACATACTAGACATGCCAATAACTAAAGAGATGGTTATTGTATTCTACGAAGTGTTTATATTAAAATAATATCCATACTATTATTAATTATTTCATTAAGCTATATTAACCCATTTGAAGTAGGCTCTCGTCCCTTTGTCGAAGCACAATATGGTTTAATTTGAAGTGTGCTATATGCTAATATTCTATTTTCTCCATTTTAATAGATCTTTAAAAGAGAGCAATTTACAAAAACTTAATGATTTTTTAATAAACATTGGAGATTACAAACAAAGATAATACTTTAAAAAATAGATTATCATATTTTACCCAAGGTATTTTTATATGATATCATAATTTTATTTTGCAATGAATTCTCAGAATGGTAACAGGGTGAAAGAAGAATGAGATTGTTTATAATAAAAAGAAAATGAAGTCATTTTATATGATAACTACAGGGGCAAATTGACCAGCTTAAAAGAACCAGCTGTAAATATCTGGATCTTTTTTCTTTTGCAAACCTCTGTGAAAGATTCCTGTTCCTCATCTTCTAAAACCATGGCATCTGTACATGGAAAAGTTCCAGAGAATTCTCATATACAGCAGCTTTTTGCTGTTTATCATTTTAAAGGCCCCTCAGTATAAAATGACTGCAAATGTTTCAACCATTCCCTAAAGTATTATATTTAAGTGGAGAAAGAGGCCTACCTAAAGATTTGCTGATTCTTGCAAAATGGCAGACATGCCTATCCAAATCTGAACCAATATTTCATTTTAAGAATGTGGTGTTTCAATCATATGCAAAAATATAAAATCACAAAAATCAAGATGGAAGCCTCAAAATATAAAGTAAGTTAGAAAACTATTCTTTACAAACACATCACATCTGTCAGACTTAGGACATTTTAATAAGCAAAATAGTGGGTGAGCATCTGGATGTAGTTGATCTGCTTAATGTAGTATAAATAAAATAATAACAGATATAATCAGCCAAGAAAAAAATGAATGATGTGCCTTTAAAAAAAAAAGGAAACATAGCAGGAAAGCATTTAAACTCTTGATTTCCCTACAACACAAATATTTAATAAAAGACATTCCAAGTGGCATGTTGAATGATGTATCCATGTGCTTTTCTGCTTAGTTCACTCGTAACTCTTATACTTGTGATAATTTTATACATATATTTTGATTTTTTTTTAAATTATGTATTTGGATCATTTTTATATTCTGGTCTTAAATTGATATCATATGCTCCGAAGATGAAAAGTTCAAAGTTAAATAATATATTTAAGAAAAGGAAGGAAGGGCGGAAGGGCGGAAGGAAGGAAGGAAGGAAGGAAGGAAGGAAGGAAAAATCAATCAATCAATTAATAATCTGGAGTTATTAATCTTCTCAGGTACCAACTATATAAGAGGTACAGGAGTTTATTTTCAAGAAGGTTAATTCTGGAGAGAGGGATTTGAAAAGAAAAGTAGCAGGGATATGAACAAGAATGCTATATCAGCAGAACTGATAAATACTCATAAGGAAGCAGTGTGTTGTCATAGGGAGGCATCAAGGAAGAACAGGAGGTCATCCTTGACTTATAATCACAATGTAGCCCAAAATTTATGTTGCTATTTGAGACAGTTGTTAAACAAGTTTTGCCCCATTTTACAACCTTTCTTGCCACAGTTGTTAAGTGAATCACTGGAGTTATTACCATAAGAAAGGCTGAGTGCCAAAGAATTGAGGCCTTTGAACTATGGCACTAGAGAAGACTCCTGCGAGTCCCTTGGACTGCAAGGCAATCAAACCGGTCAGTCCTAGAGGAGATCAACCCTGACTGCTCTTTAGAAGGCCACATCCTGAAGAGGAAACTCAAATACTTTGGCCACCTAAGGAGAAGGAAGGACTCATTGGAGAAGAGCCTAATTCTGGGAAAGATTGAGGGCAGAAGGAGAAGGGGACAACAGAGAAGGAAGTGGCTGGATGGAGTCACTGAATAGTAGGTGTGCGCTTAAATGGACTCCAGAGGATGGTAGAGGACAGGATGGCCTGGAGGAAGGTTATCCATGGGGCCGCAATGGGTCGGACATGACTTCGCAACCAACAATAACAACATGGATGTAAACTGAATTTGACTTATTCATTGACTTTGCTTGTCAGAAGGTCACATGACCCCAGGACAATGCAATCATCATAAATATGAGCCAGTTGCCAAGTGTATGAATTTTGATCATGTGGCCATGGGGATGCCGCAATGGTCGTTAAGTGTAAAAAAGGTCAAAAGCTGCTTTTTTAATGCCACTATAACTTTGAACTGTCACTAAATGAATGGTTGTAATTCAAGGACTACCTATAAGGCTTTTTGATGTGAATATGCTGCCTCCTTGCTGGCTCTAGGTTTCTAAATCAAGGCTGCCATAATCACCTTGAACAAGAAACAATAGGCATAGTTTCTCAACTCCATTCTAGTTGAAATGCATAGGTTTTGTCCAGAAACTGAACAAGCAGCTTTTTCATCAAACTGAAACGTTTAATAAACTTCACTGTTTGGCATTCCAACTGATCATTTGATAGTAATCCAATAAACCCATTTCACTCCAGCTAAAATACAGAGATGGAATTTTATGGCCATACGAGAACGCAATTCTTTATTTTCAGTTTTAATAACATGGTTAGCTACATTTTCAAGAGTTTCAAGGCAGAGGCTAATATAATTCAACATATATATAAAACACACACTTTTTGAATTAAATTTGCTGGGTAAATAAATGGGTACATGATTGAATTATCTGCATGTTAAAATATCTGCAGTGTTCCTTACTCATTTTTTAAAAAAGAGAAAACCAGACAGATCAATATGCTGCTTCTTTCAATTTAATGCTGAATGTATTGGGACTACGACAATACTCCTATAATTCCTCATTCAGCATGCCAATTTTACTGGTATTTTTATCCTAATATATAGGGAAGGAGAATATCAATTTGGATAGGATAAGGTAAAGGTAAAAGTTCCCCTTGCACATATGTGCTAGTCATTCCCGAATCTAGGGGGTGGTGCTCATCTCCATTTCAAAGCTGAAAAGCCATCACTGTCCAAAAATGTCTCCAAGGTTATGTGTCTGGTATGACTAAATCAGTGGTGGGTTCCGGATCCCGTTGCAGTTGGTACGGTTGCAACGGGGCCTGGCATCCTCCACATGAACGTGCGCAGCGCGTACATGCATGTGCACAGCGTGCACAAGCATCCTACCTTCCAGTTTTGCCTCCGCGATGCTCTAGCTACTCAGCGGAGCATTGTGCAGGCACCGAAGAGTTTAAAGACAGATAAGGAAGACAGGCAGGCGGGTGGGCCCTTCCAGAGTACCGTACCGGAACGGTACCCGGTGCTCCGGGCAGTCACCGGTACACCCATACCAGGGCGTACCGCCTGTAACCCATCACTAGACTAAACGCCGAAGGCGCACAGAATACTATTTTCTACTTACTTACTTCTACACAGGTCCCTATTTTTCTACTTACATTTTAACATGCTTTTGCACTGCTAGGTTGGCAGAAGCTGGGACCAGTAACGGGTCCGTTACGCGGTGCTAGGGATTTGAACCGCCAAACTGCCAATCTTTCTGATCGACAAGCTCAGCATCTTAGCCACTGAGCCATCTTTTGGATAGGATACTATAACACAATTATCTAAAACAAGCCATTTTTAACTTGATAGTACTCTTATTTATTATTATTCCATAGGAAGAAAATAGTTTGTTATAATTCAAATTCTCCCATTTGACTTCTTCTGAGATTCAAGTATTTCTCAAGCAAAATGAATAGATGCGTCTCTAATTCCCAAACTGTACAGTATGTATTCACAACATTTGTCCTTTATCAAGAGACCCTCCTAAATTTAATCTGAGAGGCTTATTCCTTTTCTACAAGTGGTTTATCTTAAAAAGCTTCCTGGTCCTTGTGATTTTGTTCTCTATTTTTCTTCTTTTTTTTCCCCCAGTCTTCTTGAGATGTAAGAAGAACAAGTTCAGAATTCTCTCTGAGATCCAAGTTTTAAAGACACATTTAAATAGAAATTTTAGCACTTTAGACCAAACTCGCATTTCAGGAACCAGAGCTGCCCTTCAGTATTTGAAATCTTGAAGGAAAAAAGGAAAACATGGAGGGAGGGAGGTTGCCATTTTTTCCAATTTGGCTCATAATTTAGAAATAAAAATCAGATGGAACTTGGAGGAAAATAAATTATGCTTCTTACATAGCCCACCGCTGAAAGCAAGGATTTCAAAGTACTTCCAATCTCCAGGGTGGGGAAATCCTTCTGCAAGGATTATTTTTGTGTGCGACGGCTAATGAACAACAGGTTGTTCTAAACTGTGTGAAAATGCTCTACAGACACAGCCTCAGAGCAAATAGCTCTTTGACTAAGAACTAAACTAAATAGATCTGTCAGGTGCTGGAAGTTCTGGTTGACATTTAAACCAACATTCCAGTTTTTTTCCATTAAAAACAGCATTTAACAACAACTAAAAGTTTCCATCAAGTAATTCACCTAACAATTTCACCTAACAGATTTAGTTTCTAGGGATCTTTTTAAACTTCAATTGACAGCAGAGTAATAGACTGTGTATACTAATAGGTTCTCCTTGTCAAACTGATTCCAAGCTTGTCTGTCTTTAAATCTGGGGAATAGACTGTGCAGTAACTTTATATTCCTTTAGGTTTCCTGGAACAGTGATAGTAAATGATTAAATCTATTTAGTAAATATTTGATGTTTTTAATTTCTTCACTGTACATTTTGCCAATGTTTCATCGTCTTCCTTTTCTACCTCATACTCCTTATGCAATTACTATTGAAGCTCATTTCAAATAACCCTAAAACAATACAGAATACTTCTGATCACATAGAACCTCAGTGTTAATATGTCTGCTTTTATTATAAACGGATGGCTTGCTGTCGACCAAATATTTCAAGAGACTGCAGCCTGCCTACCTCACTATGTATTAAAGACAATTGGGACCATTTCCTGATTTTCAGTTTCAGTTCATTGGTGTAAAAAGAAAAGTCAATTTCCTTTTCAGTTTTAGAATCTGAGATGGTACAGTATGTCCTCTTGGGATGAATATATCAGTAATACAAGTAGTGGCTACCAAATATTCTTTCCCTATAGGACCAAATTCTACATGAAGAGAACTAGAGAAAGAACTGCAATGTTGATATCCAGCATGTGCATGAAATGTGAACCTGGCCTCTTATTCCATGCCAGAATAAATAGAACCCAGTTCCTATTTAGTAAAGTAACAAACATTGCATTATTGTAAGAAAATCGTGTAAGGAATAAAGCACAGGTCGGCTATCATTATGCCATAACACTGAGTGCCCAAAGTGCACAAGCTCAAACTACAAGGCTTAGGGGCACGCACCCCTATGCCCCCCACATGCACACACACCCTGCACATGGACAGCAGAGACCTGAAGACCAGCTGGCCAGCAGGAGGCATGTGTGCATGCGTGGCAGAGACGCAAAACAGACCTGGGGCGGGAGCGACGGTGTGTATGCCCACAGAGAGAGGGCTCTGTGTGCCACCTCTGGTACGTGTGCCATAGGTTTCACTACCACTGCCCTAATACATCACCTAGTAGTCACTACCTTGTTAAAAGTTGCACTGATCTTCCTTTCTATTCAGTTTTGTCCCAACTGTACTACTCAGGATAGTATGATCCTTGTTGGAGCAAAAGTCTCAGTGTTTACAGGCTGGAATGGAACTGGGATAAACACTAGGAACTAACAAATTACACCCCTGTGTTATTGCTAGAAAAGATTTTTTTCTGGAGAAAATGTTAAACACATTGTATCTTTTTTTCTGAATAGGCAAATATTACTGCATAGTTCTGCCTATTTTTCTCTTGAAATATGTCAAATACTGACATCAGCGTGAAAAAACAGTTACCTCATTGTCAGTTCCCACATCGAGCATAACGGGCAGACACTCCTGGGGCTTTACTCCTCCACATGCTGTGTAAAGTGCTAGTTTACCCACCGGGATGCCCATTCCATAACAACCGAGGTCTCCAAGGCCAAGAATACGTTCTCCGTCAGTCACCACAATCGCCTGTGGAAAAAGTATGGTAAGCGTTATAAAACTGAAAAGGTATCTTGAATTCTTTGTTATGAGCAGTTTTAAGCTCTGTCATGATATTATTATTTTCTAAATAACATACATGAATGAATGAATGAATGAATGAATGAATGAATGAATGAATGAATGAATGAATGAATGAATAAGAAAGAAAGAAAGAAAGAAAGAAAGACAGACAGACAGACTGCATTTTCTTAAGGCCATTATTGAAGTAAATAAATCTTTGGTCAATCAATTATATGGGCTAAGTGAATTCAATCACTTCATGAGAAACAACAGATGACAAACAAAGTGAGCACACTAGATTCCCTTTAATGATGCCCTTTCATTTCCAGTGGAGTGGGTCTAATCCTACTAATATCCTACTAATAAAAGGCAACAAGGCATTTTTTTTAACAATTTCCCTTTTCCTCCTGCTCTTCCAAAGAGTTGCCTATTTTCCCAGAGCAGATTTGGCAGAGAATACAAGACAGTGAAAGAAATGGGCAAACATTATCTATTTTTTAAATTTGTCAATAGCCTCACAAATATAAAATATATTTTTGATAAAAGAAAAGATACCAGTGGGTATACTTTTCTTCCTTAGGGGTTTAGATAAAGCAAATAAAAATGTAACTCTCTGGTACAATGTGTGTGTGTTTAAGACAACAAGTGGCATCTACAGTTTCTACTGCCTAATTCATTGGAGAGTTCTGGCTAACAATTTCTTTTTGATGGCTGCTCTAATAAAATATGTTGCTGTGATGCAAAGAGGAAAAAAAAAACCGTAGTAATCCTGTTACTAAAACAATGTATGTGATTCAGCATGAATAGCCCAGCACCATAATCCTGAATATGTGCAGTAAAAAATGTAACTGTTTAACACATCGCTTTAACTCCTCTGAGTAATGATTCATGCTTTGTGATGTACATTTCCAACTCTGAGTAATGATGCAGTGCTATTTCCAGTTCTTATTTTCCAACTTAAGGATTTAATTTCTGACAAGAAGCTATTATCAACCAGTTAGGTGAAGGGAGCCTTTATCAACCCAACTGTCACATTTGTCCCAGGGACACATCCTGTGGCAGCATGAGCAATGGATCCAGCCAGCCCTTTCATTCTTCCTTCCTCTCTCATGTAAGTCCCCCTTAACAATTCTATATTAATAATTTCACCTCCTCAAATTGGCATCTACCCATAGATCATCCCCCATTGCTTTCCTGCCCAGGCACTCCTGTTTTCAGAAATGTCCAAAATGTTGAACTTTGAAGGAGATGTTTTCTTTTACGTAGTAAAGCCTTCTTTTTCTTTTTATTGAGTAAACCTTGAGAAAGCAATCCAGATAGGACTGGAATATGGATGGCTGGAGGGTGAGAAAACCCCAGTAGAATGACTGCTCAGTTGAAGCAGTCGGTCAAAAAAGAAAAACAGTTGGGGCAAAGGCTCTCTTTGATATAGCCTCCCAACCAGCAGGATTTCCTGGAAATTAGGACAGGCAGCAAAGGTTGATGAGAAAAGAAAGAAAAAAAGATGGCTGTACGGTTACAATTACAAAGCAGTCTACGTGAGACTATAGTACAAGGAGAAAAAACACAGGTTTGTTAATAAGACTCTTTAAAGACATTAACAATATGTATTAAATATATCTATGTTGTTTTTCTTGTATCTACAGAATATCATGGTATCAAGAATTACAGATGGAGAGGGCGAATGAGAGTTGGCTAAAATTAAAATCAATTAACATAGTTAAAAATTTTGGAGCTGTTCCAGTAATCACATTATTTCTAGGACTTTTTTCTTTTTGTATTGCCATGTTTATCATTTTTGAGGTTGCGTCGATCCTTTAATATTGTTGTGTTTATTTATATTTGATTGATCAACTAAGCAGAATAAAATACAATACATGCTGAGATATGACTGGGAATTGCAACTGGTTTAAAATATTGTTATTAGTCTACTATTAAGTACAAAGTACAGGGATCCTGGTGCTGTCAGATTTTTGGCACAATTTAATGTATTGATATAGACTTCTGAAATCCTAAATGGCTTAGATTCTCATTGTCTAAGAGAACACCCATCCCAATAGTAGGGATATATTAATCTGCAGGAGAGCCCTTCTGAAGAGACCCTGCCATCTACAACTCATCTATCTCACGGATGGAAGGTCTTCTCCCACATTATTCCTGGACCTGAGGAATTGCCTCAATCTGCAAACATCTCCATTTTAGAAGATCTGTAAGGGACATGCCTTTTGCCAGGTTTTTAAAGCTAATTACTATTAGTATTGGGATTAAGTTGTTAATTGTTTGCATTTCACATTTTACTGAATGTTAGCCACCTGAATAGTATAGCAGATTATAATCATATAAGTAAACAAGCAAAAAAGCAATATGAGGGAGGAGATGCTGAAGACATATAAATATGGTAGTCAATTGATGTGCTGATAAGAAGACCTATTCTATCTAGAGTTTCCCCACTGCCACTTTAAGAATATATGTAGAATAGTGCAAATAAGAAAATTGTTTAAATTGTAGATAGGTCATATTCATGAACCATCCTTGCTAAATCAGCTGCTATCTACCAGAATTTTATTTTAAAGCAGATAGCACTTCCAAAGTTCTTAGAAAAAGAATCTCAGCAACCCAAAGCTTCTGTGCCAGGTATTTTTCACCGCAATTTCAACATTTATAAACAAAAATAATCTGTTTCTGGTTGTTCTGTTGCTAATCCTTGGAGAATACAACCATTGTTGCTTAAGAAACAGGTACATTCCACAATGATTACATATTTCTGTCCTGGCCCCAAAAGAAAATACCTGTAAGCTGGTGAGAGGGGTAAGATCCATCGGTTATTGTCACAGCTACTTCCCAATTGACATAATAGGGAAGGATCTGGCAATGGTGCAGAAGCAACTGGCAAACCACCTGCTCTACCAACCCTGCATGCCTTTATAGATAGCACATATACCTGAAAGGGCAGCCAAGATCTAGCGAAGATTATACATTCCACTGTAGAGATGGTGCATACCAAGTACCCAAATAATTTCAGTGCTCCCATTCAGAGCTCACTAAATCAAAGGGAAATCTTTAATAAGCTGACAATGCTGTTCTCACATGAAATGTGGATTTAATCATATTAGCCTGCTATTTTCATAAAAATCAAAAGGGGGAAAACCCAATGCATTCTCTTAGAAATATAAAATTAATAAACAATGCTGGTCACATTATTGCTTTTCAAACATATTTACAGAAAAAGCTACGTAGGCCATCCTGGAAAGATTTTAAGAGTTGTGAAGGTACGTTTTATGTAACATATTTAACTGAACACTCGAATATTCCACATCTTCCAATATGTCTTACTATAAACATTGACATCAAAATGTCCCTCCTGTACTAAAATATTATAAATCACATGAATATTTTCATTCCTTCATATACAGTAGGTTGGAATTTTAAAAAAACCCAAAAGCATTTTTTTTGCATAACAATTTTAACTTCAACATTTAAAGTTATTCTTTGTAGTGCTTTTGAAGACAAAAAGCATTACAAACTATTAGTTTATTTAAACTAATTTAAATAAACTTCAAGGCGTTTTTACTATATCAGAGCAAAACTGACAAAGGTACTTTTATTAGTTTTAATATTTAATACTATGGTCAAAGGGTTCCATGTTTGAATATTCCCTACATTTAAAAAACCCTACCATGTTAGAAAAAGTGCCAGCATGCTTTCTCTTGAAACATGAATTGATGGAATTTTCATGGGACATTCCTACATCAAAGCAAAACCCAACACTATTGTTTATGCCAGTAACCTATAGATCTAATTCTAAACATGCACATACAGACATCTGAGAGACACTTACCTTTATATTAGTTTCAGGCCATGCTTTAAACAATGTTTCGATATGCCCTCGATCATGGGAAGTGATGAAGAGTCCTCTGTAAAGAAGTAATTCAAACTTTAAATTATTTTTAAAATAATTTAAATTAAATTTAAAATAATTCCTTCCTTCCTTCCTTCCACCTACCGTACCTACAATTATATCTTAATTTGACATACAACTTTCAGTATTAATTTAATATATTGCTTACTGTTTTTAGTTTTGTTAGTGATTTGCACTGTATTAATTAATCACGACGTTCAGCTTATAATGCAGTGACACTTAAGTTTTGTTTAGAGAAAGCGTATTAAATATTTCACAGTGTACCTTGGAAGATATCAGCTTTTCTTCTATTTAATCACCCATTAATCACCTGGTTTTTTAAAAAAAAATCTTTCATTTCATCTATTCATTCTTGTTCTTTTTCATTTAGTCTTTCTGTATTTCAAGGACAATCTTCTGTATGCCATGCTACTCACCAAATGAGCCTTTGGCCACTCATGGCTTTGATCAGTTAAAGCTTTCATACAATGTATTTAGTAAGCTACAGAAGAAATAGGCTAGGCTGTTAGCTTTGATATCGGTACCAACAATATGCACAGTATCGGACAGTTCACACGTATTTGAAATGATTCCCACCAGCATACAAAAGCCCAATTTACCCAAAGGTTGTTCATGCTGTTCTAGGCATGCTAAAGTCACTAATCTAGAGACGGGTTTATGTGAAAACCAACTCTTGCCTAAATCCAATCATGGAGGCTTTTGCAGTGTAATAACTTACTCAAGAAAGTTAAGTAGAGGATGATTACAATTGTAAAATGACCTGTTCGTTTAGAAGTCTAAAAAAAATACATAAAAAGTGACATTATTGAAGAGTCTTTATTGTATTTACTGTAGACGACTCACAAGAAAGGAGGAGGAGGGGGAATAAATGTAACAAATAAAATATAGCAAGATGACAGAAACTGGACTGGTATGGAAAAAATAAACAGACCCACACAGTACAAAGGAGGTTTTATTCGCCCTCATTAAAAGCCTGAGAGGACAGCCAAGCCTTTAAGGCCCTTCAAAATAGCAGCAGGGTGGGGCTATCAGGTTTTCTGGTACAATCTCTACAGGTATTCTCTACCATAGAGAATATGTACTTCCAGGGAAACAATAGATCACATTATTTAACTAAAGAAACCCAAAATGGCCCAACTCTGCCAGATCAAATTGGACAGGACGGAGGATACTATGGAACTGAGGCAGTGGTGAACTTTTTTTTTACTACCGGTTCTGTGGGCATGGCTTGGTGGGCGTGGCAGGGGAAGGATATTGCAAAATTGTCATTCCCATCCCACTTCAGGGGAAGGATACTGCAAAATCCCCATTCCCGCCCCATTCCTGTGAATGAGCGCCAGTGGAGGAAAGGCGTAAAGTAGTCCCGGGGGGCCAGGGGCATTGGAGAATGTCGACCCCTTCCACCTGGGAACACTGGAATCTGGTGAAAAAGTGGGGGAGCTGAACGTTCTCCGGAGTGGCAAACAGGTCGACCAGGGGATGACCAAAGCTCTGCGACAATTGGTGGAAGAGGCGCAGATGGAGGCGCCACTCCGAGTTGTCTAGGATGGTCTGGCTCAGCCAATCTGCCTGGACATTGTTCACCCCAGAGATGTGCTTCGCCCGAATGGACTGCAGGTGACGTTCTGCCCACCAGCCAATCGCCTCCGCCTCCGTCATGAGAGACCTGGACCTGGTACCCCCTTGGTGATTTATGTGTGCCTTTGTTGCCACATTGTTGGTGAGGACAAGGACATGGTGATACTGGATGTTGTGCTGGAACCTCTGAAGCTCTAGTCTGACCACCCTCAACTCCAACCAATTGATGTTGTGTGAGAGGTCATGAGCTGACCATGGTCCTTGAGCCATTAGGGTGTGCGGGTGAGCTCCCCAGCCGAAGAGGCTGGCGTCGGTTGTGACAGTCAGCCTGGGTGGTTCTTTGAAGCAAGTCCCTTTCAGGAGGGCTGTGGACAGCCACCTCCGGAAAGACTGGAGGACCTTGGCAGGTAGATGTACCTTGACTGGTGAATTGCTGGTCTTCACTCTCTGCATTGGCAGGAGAAACCATTGTAGATCTCTCGTGTGGAGTCTCACCCAAGGAACAATTGAGAGACACGAGATCATCTTCCCCAGCAATTGCAACAAGGTGATGATACGAGTGCTGGGGGAGAGGCGGACTTGTTGGACCAGTTCTCGAAGACTTTCGATGCTATCTGGTGACAGGAAGACTTGGCAAGACGAGGTGTCTATCACAGTCCTCAGGTGCAGAATTCTGGTGGCTGAAGCCAAGTGGCTCTTTTCGAGGTTGATGGTAAACACGTAGTCTGCATCGTGATGCGCAGGTCTCGTGCTGCTTGCGCCGGTGATGACTGAATCAATATGTCGTCAAGGTAGCACTGTAGGGCAGCAACAGCAGACAGGATCTTTATAAATGTCCTTGGGGCTGATGACAGGCCAAATGGAAGAGCCCTGTATTGAAAGTGGGACCCGGCGTAGAAGAATCTCAGGTAGCACCTGTGCTCGGGTCTGATGGGACATGGAAGTACATCTCATTCAAGTTTATCAATGTTAAGAAGACCCACTGTCAAATGCAGCCCAAGATGGATTGAGGGATTGCATTTTGAACTTTTTGTAGGCCACATATTGGTTCAACTTCTTCAGATCTAGTATCGCTTTCCACCACCACCCGAGCTTTTGGGTACTAGAAATAGAATGGAATAGAACCCCTTGCGTTCTTGCCCAGGGGAAACTGTTTATATGGCCCTGATCTCCTTGAGGTGATGGATCTTGGCCTCCATAAGGCCCCTCTTGATGGAACACCTGCGTGTCGGGCAACAAATAAAGTGGCACGGGGGGGAGAGAAATTCCAGAGCGAGGCCTATCCAAATCATTTGAAACATCCACACATCGAGGTAATCTCCTCCCACTGGGCGGCAAAGAGTTGCAGCCACCCCCCTATGGGAGGATTGGGATGGTGGTCACTGTTTTCAACAGAAAGGCCTGCTTCCAGACCCTCCCTGAAAGGGACGACAGGAGTAGGGATACTGACAGGCCCTGTCCCGAAATGGCTGCCTATCCTGATTGCGATTCGTCCTGAGCGTAGGAACGCTGAAAGGAGGAATTGCTGGTCAGAGGATCAGCTGGACAGGAGGTCTGCCTGCGGAAGAAGGAGGTCAACCTGCTGTCTGGTTTCCGGGAAACTGAAGGCATCACCTTCTGCTTATCCTTGTTCTCAATCAAAACTGAATCAAGGGCCTCCCCAAATAACTTGCCACTTTTAAAGGGGGCAGAAGCAAGCTTCCATTTTGAGCGCATGTCTGCGTTCCAGTGGCAGAGCCATAGGAGCCTACGAGAGGTGATGTTAGAGACCATGGCGCACGAAGTGAACTTTGCAGCGTTAAGAGTCCACAAGAGGCCACAATTTTGTTTACATCGTGCCGCAGTCTGCCGTCCCCTGCCGGGACTCTAGTGAGTAACTATCGTCGCCCTATTACAGAATGAGGCAGAGGTGGCTGCCTTATTGGCCCAAGCTGCTGCTTGATGGGTCTTGTGGCAAGCCTGTTCAGCTCTTTTGTCCTCCACCTTAAGGCCCTCTAGAAGGTCAGGTGGGAGCACTGAAGAGGATGTGAGAGCTTGAACTGGAGGATCAACGGAAGGGAGCTTAAGAAGCTCCTCTATGGTCAGATCCACTGCGTAAAGGCGTTTATCGTTTCCCCCCGGAGTGGCCTGGGTCCCAGGCTGGACCCACTGGCACTGGACCACGTCTTTAAAGAGTTCGGAAGAAGGAACAATCTCCTGGGCGGAAACCTTCTCATCAAACAGGCCTCTACTATAGGATCCGCAGCTGACTGATCCAGGGAAACCTCCACCTCCATGTGGGTGGACACCTTGGCCTTAAATAGAATCGTCTTAAATAAGGATGGTTGGAACAAGCCAGCAAAGGCCGGTTTGTCCGGGATGATGTTCTCATCGTCTGATAACTCATGACCCCCGTCTTCATCATCCCACACTGACTCAGCACTGGCCACCGATGGAGGTGGAGAGGAAGGCCTGTGAGAATGGGATTGCTCTCAGGGGCCCTGAGAGGACTGTAGAGCTGTGGGGGGCTGGGGGGCTGGAGAGCCCTGTGGAATAGGTAGAGGAAGCTGGGGAACCTATGGTTGCAGTTCGCACCTCTGGAGACCCTTGACTATCCCCTGGTTGATTGCTGTAGCAATGATTTCCCTCATTTCTGCTGAGAGGCCTGGGCCCTGGTCCTCCACTGGGCAGCTCCCCGCCACAGTGGGTCTGAGCATGGGGTCACTAGCTAAAGGAACAGGAGAGGGAGAGTCCTCCCTCTCAGATGCCAACTCACACTCAAATAAATCTGCACACAGATATACACCCAGGGAGGGGGAAGGAGACCTGGACCCCCCAGTTAGGGAAATATCCCAGGAAAAACCTCCATCTCAGATATAGAAGGAGGAGGAGGGGCCCCAGCTAGATCCTGACCAATAGGGCTTCCTGGCTGATCTGGCTGGTGGACTTGTGCCACAATCTGCCTTTGGACCTTTGCAGATTCTTTCTCCAGGGCTTTCTGGCACCTGATAGCATTTTTCTCCTGCACATTAGTAGCTTTTCTGGAATAAGGCTTGGTGGCCCTGGTCTCCCCAATGTCCTCCCTGGCAGCCCTGCCCGCCTTCCTTAGATAGGGCCCCATCTGATTAGAGGACTGGCATGCCGGAAGAGGATCCAAGGAGATTTCATCTGCCATGGTGGATAATTCGTATTCTGCGCTCGCTGGGCAGAAGGGCTGAGAGGTGGATTGATTGCTGCCAAGTTCGCCGAGAAGAGGGCAAGAATGAGCCAAAAGGACACCAAAAAACGCTGCCGGGGGGAAGAGATGAGACAAGAAGCCGTCAGGGTCGAGAACCAAGACGTAGAGGATGGCCGCAGCCAAAGACTTCTGAAATTTCACCTGGTAACCCACCGCGGTGAGAGAGTGTTCCGATCGCTGTCCGGTCTCTCCCCAACTGGTGCCGAAAGAACACGGCAAACAGAAGGCAGGAAATTTGGCACTCCAAAATGGCCACCGAAAGGGGACGGCACAAAATGGTGGTGCCCAGAGAGACAACCACATTGTCCTGGCTCCGCAAGGAGAAAACCGGCTGGTGGTCAGCTCTTCATCACTGGAGAAACCCGACGATGTTCAGGTCACCGAATGGACAAACCCTGGTGGTAAAGAGCCAGTCACCTGTCTCCCAGCGCCAGGGAAAACCCCGGGATGTCTGGAGAATCAAAGCACTCTACCAGCTCCTTGAAAGGTCGATGAAACCTGCAAATAAAGTCTCTTACTCGAAGGAAAGGTTTAAGTAAAAAAACAAAGGAAAAAATAAGCTTCACTTTAAAAGATACAACTAACAAAGGTAAAAAATCTCTAGAGAGAGAGTAAAATATGTCCGAATGGGCAATGGACTGAATTGAAAAACTGAATGTACCGAGAGACCAGGAGGTGTGGTCAGAAATTTCAATCCAGTCCATTGGGCAGAAGGACAGAATTTAACCCTTGCTTGGACTCTCCAAGCAGTGCATAGGAAAATTGCCAATTCTCCAAACTACTCAAAATTTCCACTACCGGTTCCAGAACTGGTCGGAACCTGCTGAATTTCACCCCGGGACTGAGGCAGAACCTCAGTTAACCAGGTTCAAATCAGCTAGACTCCATCCTGTTTTAATGAGCATGAATTCTAGAAAAATTGTTTGCCAACATTATAAACTAAGATTAGAAAGACCGGCATGGAAGATTCAATAAATATTATACATATGCACAAAGAGGCAGTTGGGAGCATTTTGTGAGTGTGGAAAATTCTATGATTGGTTTAATGATTTAAAAAAAACTGTGGCCTAAGTACAGTCACATATTCCAAAGTAGCTCTTTTTTTAAAAATTGAACAGCTTTAGTTATAATTACCAGTCTTTACATCAGTTTGAGTTTTCTGGCGCTATAATATGATCAACAGCAGAGAGGAAGATGCAAACTACTTTTAGAACCATGTAAGTCAGAAACAGAATCTCCAAACCAAATTTGGCTATCTTTGGGCACTGATGACATATTTAAGATAGTTAATGCGTATATTCCCATGGTATCCCATTAAGCGGTTTTCTAACAGCCTAAAAGTCATAGAACTAAAGATATGTTATCCCTAAATTGTTATAACATGAGGTATTTACAATATGTTTTTTTTTAATTCCTTACATTTTCTTAAGGATTAAAGATCAAGCTTGTCGTGACTTTTGGATATTTAACTAAATTACTAACAT